GACTCGATCGATACCACCGGAGGTGGCGTGCTGTGGGACTTCGACGCTTTGACAACAAGTGGCTGAGACACCGGAGGCGCAATGGGCGTAGCACTCGCTTGGGCTGTCTCCCGCGCCTGAGGCGGCGGCTGAGGCGGACCGGATGGCACTAACACCGTTTCAGCGGCTGCTGACAATTGGGGCTCATGGAGTGGGACCCTAGGACCTGCAGCTACTGATGCGCCCTTAGGCTTATTCTTAGGGACTATAATTACTTGTCGAACATGTGGGGGCGTTACAGGGGGCGCCCCTTTTAGTGCATCGGCGGTTCCCTAAGTCACCCAAATTAGTAATTTTACTAACCATAAAATTTACGTAAATTTTTGGTTTTACTAAGGAAAATTTACGTAAAAATTTACGTAAATTTAATAGTAAATCCAATTTAGGTTATGAGTAAATCCAATTTAGGTTATTAGTAAATCCAATTTAGGTTATTAGTAAATTTTTTAGGTTATGAGTAAATTTTTGCGAGCATGATTTTGAAGCAGAAAATGTCTCTATTTATGTGAGTTGGCTTTCTCCAAAGAGGCAGGTTTTCTACAGGACAACATGTACTTGAGGATATTTGCGCTATGGATTTTTGTTTTTGTTGACTGACAAGCATGCCAGGAGGTGTGGACTTTGCCTTTACTTGAAGGGATTGCATTTACTTGAGCATGTGTACCCTTCTTGACTTGAACAAAACATTTTTACTTGAGGGTGTCTACTTGAGGGAGTAAATTTACTTGAGGATATGTACTTTTCTTCACTTTAGGAAGAAGAGCATTCTCTGATTCTCTGATGGTTTTTGCCAGTGTGAGGGTGCATGTTTTATGTGAGAGATCTTTTGGCTCTGTGAGAAGAAGAAAAAGAAGAAGAACAAGAGACACCTCAGCAAGAAGGAAACGAGCAGTGAAAGCGCAAAGCTGACAAGATTCTTGGACTGAACTTTAAACAAGTTTGCTTGTTGAAAATTAATTGTTCAAGTTTGTATTAACTGCAGCAAATGAACAAGAGTTATGTCAATGTTGGCTTGAAACCATTGTCAGGAGGCGTGACCGCATCAATGCCATGATGGACTTGATGAGGACGCTGCAAGATGACAGCAGTTCATCTCTGGAATCCTTGGAGTGAAAAAGACACAAGCAGCCTTTGGGGTAGAGTTGAGGGCACGCATTGTGACATGATGTTGAGAAGCTGTTACATGAAGAAGATCTGACTTTACTTGAGAAGCTTTTACATGAGGGTGTGACTTTACCTGTTGAGCTTTTACTTGAGGATGTGATTTCACTTGAGCATGGCACACTTTACTTGAGCATGGCAGACTTTACTTGAGCATGGCACACTTTACTTGAGCATGGCAGACATTACTTGAGGATGGTTTTACTTGAGTGTATTTTACTTCAGTGGTTGAGACTTTGTGTAAGTATACTTTACATGAGGACGCCATTCAACTTGGAATTGTGTGCTTAGTCTTGTTTAGTTTTGTTGTGAGTTGAAGTGTATTTGATATGTATTTATGAAATTTAGTTCAAAAAACTAGAAATTTAAGAGAAAATATTGATGAATTATTGATGAACTTTTGATGCACTTTTGATGCACTTCTGATGTACTTTTGATGTACTTTTCAAAAGTGTATACACTTTTGATCAAAAGTGTATACACTTTTGTTAAAAGTGTATACACTTTTGAAAAGTACATCAGAAGTGCATCAAAAGTGCATCAAAAATTCATACAATTTTTTGACAGATTTTATGAAAAGCTATGATATTCTGCATCATATTGTCAGCAAAAAGATATCTAGCATTCTTGTGGGTTTATCCTTTACCTGAGAATGTAATGCTTTTGCACAAAGAGTTGATCAGCATTGTATGTTGTTCAATTTGAAGTTGGTTTATCCTTTACCTGAGAATGTAAAGCTTTTGCGCAAAGAGTTGATCAGCATTGTATGTTGTTCAAATTGAAGTTGGTTTATCCTTTACCTGAGAAGGTAATGCTTTTGCACAAAGAGTTGATCAGCATTGTACGTTGTTCAAATTGAAGTTGTTGAGAGTTTACTGCACAGCTGGCTTATTGGTTGTTGTTTACTTTTGCAGCTAGATTGATCTCAAAGAGCTTTGAAAGGTTTGAAAGATAGGCGCAGTAGCTTGTTGGCATTGGCATGGCAGAGGAAGAGATCCCCATGGGCCAAGTCACTCCTGAGGAGAAGGACGATGGTGTAGTTGAAGAGCCCAGCACACCTGTGAAGCAAAGGCCAGCTTCCAAAGCAAAGACCCCAAAATCCAAGAGCCCAAAAGCAAAGAGCCCTAAAGGGAAGAAGCCCAAAGCAAAAGGAAAGAGCAAGCCAAAGCCAAAGCCAAAGGCAGGCTCTTTAAAAAGGCCTGCTGCCAGTGGAGAAACCGTACAGCCAAAGAAGAAGCCAGCAGCTCATGGCTGGGCAGCAGGGTTGCAGGAGGATCAGGAGGAGGAAGCACCAGAAGTTGAAGAGGATGAACCAAGAGAATGTGGAGGAGGAGGAGGAGGAGCAGGACAATGCAGACTTCTTCGAGTGCGATGAGGCCAAGAAGGACAGGTCGAAGGACAACAAGTTCAAGGCCTTGTTGTCTGAGGGCTCTCTGCCAGACTATGTTGTGCAGGCTTGGAAGAAGACCTTGAGCATGAAGAAGGGACGCACAGAAGAACAGCGCAAGATAGTGAACCAAGTCCTGGACAGGACAAAGGATGGAAAGCTCATGGTGCTTATACCCAAGATATTTTTCTTGCGCTTGTCTTTCCTGCGTGCTTATACCTGAGTGTGTGTGCTTGTGGTTTTATCCAAGTGTCTCTACTTGTGGCTATATGTTTTACAAATTTACTTTCTTCAAAAGATGTGTTTTAGATGCAGTTTTGAATATTTGCAAATCAAAACGTAATGAAAAAATAGGAAAACCCTTAGTGAAGACCAACCTAAATAAATTTAGGTTGTACCTAAATCAAATTTACATTTACTAACCCATTTACACTTTTTGCCACCTAAATTCATCAATTTACGTAAATCCAATGAAAATGTAAATTTACTAATTTCGGTGACTTAGGGTTACAACTACTCGAACTCGCTTAGATGCTGGTTCGGCCAACTTCGGCTTTGGGTGACTTAGTTGACCGGTATTTGACCTTCCAACCACGTAAGCCAACCGGCATCTTCAGTCCTACCCTCGAGATTGCGGATGCGACGCGAACGAGCCTCAGGGTCGGAATTATCCGAGTCTTCAGCGTCAAGTTCATATAGGTCAGCATTTGCGCTCACATGAATGGTGGACGAAGAGGGCAGTAGAGGGTCGCCCTCGGCCTGTGGGGTGCTCGACCAAACAAGTCGTAGACCCGGTCTTGCGCCTCCTCAAGTGGCACTGATGGCACTGATGGTTCGTGTTCACGGTCCCATTGAGTCCTGCGAAGACGAAACGGCGTCAGGCGCCGATGGATGAAGGCGCCAGGGCCCGGGGTCATCACGACCGGACGGACCGGCTCCGCGCCAGAGGCAGCGGCCTTTGCACTCGTTGTTGGTTGGTCTTGCTCTGACTCGAGCGCCTCGGGCGAGGCAGCCCCTTGGTCTTCCTCTTCCTCCTCCTCGACCACAACGTCTTCCTCCTCCTCAGCCGTGGCCTCCGGCCTCACCTGCGACAACACTTGCCCGAGATCACCACGAAGCGCTGCTCCGCCCAACGCACTGGACGCGTGGGCCTTGGCATGTACGAGCTTGTTGTTTTGCGTCTCGAGGATGGCGTCTTGCTGCTGCACGGCGCTCATGTCAAGCTGGTCAGTGTCGGGGCGAACAGGAGGGACTGCCTTGACGGGTCTGAGTACTGGGATCTGTTCAGGATTACTACGAGTCCACTTAGGTATCATCGGCAAAAGTGGGCCACGGTAGCTGTATACATTAGGACCTGGAGCGTCAAGTGGTTCAGTCTCGCCATATGGGACGGACGGAGCTGGCTCGAGTGGAACGATAGACGAATGCTCGCCTTGAGGACCAGACCCAGACCCTGAAAACGATCTATTTATTGGATCTTCTTTGTTGCGATCCAAAAAATGGATGTCAACGATCCATTTTTTTGATGCCTGGAAAGATCAATCTTGGCAGCAGACCTGGCACTTTGATTGAAAGAGCTGCCAAGTCAAGCTGAGTCGGGCCGATTTACACGAGCAATCTAGTTCGCGCGCTTGTGAGCTGGCAAGTTCTCCTTGTTTGAGTCTCCTTCCCACCCGCCCAGTTCTCTCGCAGCTGGAGTCTGTGGTCGCGCGCAGAATATGGCTGATGACAGAATTGGCTGATAACATCCTGACAGGTGCACATACGTTTCATTGCACAGTCATTGAAATTTGGCTAGGCCAGGTTTATATATAGCGCTTTGGATCTCCTACCTATCCAGTTCTTCCACCAATTGGCGTTCTGCGCCAAGTGTTCTTGAGCCACCCCCCCACCCACCCACACACGTGCACACACACATACTAAAACGCAGACTTGCGAGCGCTCTTTTACACAAACCCTTCAATCTTACAAAAGCCATGTCGTAGGTTGGAAAATTTGGCCTTTGGGATCCGTATCTCGGAAGTTTCTGACGTGACATTATTTTTGAAAAAATGTCCACAACTCCCGGACCATGCACTGGTGTGTGAGGAAGCACGTTTTCCGAGCGTTTCTTGCGCGTACTTGGTGAGACATCGATCGACCGTCAGGCAACAGGTGTTAAGTTCTAGCTTAGATCTCGAGAGGGATCATTGACTATCCCTGTCGCAGGGTCCTTTAAATTTGCAGATGAAGCTTGCACGGTGAACACCTGTGATTTCCGCCGCTACCGCGCAGCTGGCCCGGTCAAATGGGCCTGAGTAGCCCGCTGCGACGTCAGCCCGTTCAATCTTCCATGCGTTCAATCCAATAAACTGTTTGATAACAAATCCCTGAATTCTGAGCAAGACATTTCCCATTTACTTAGCCGGGGCCAATGGGTGCTCACAAGAAGCCTGCAATGGCCAAACGCCAGAAGAGCAATGATGACTTCGAAGGCCTAGCCAAGGCTTTGAAACCTTGGGCGTCCCTTTGTCTTTGCCAGGATTATTGTGTTCCAGTCTCCCGTTCTCCATAACCATGGGTCTACTTTTAGCTCAGCTGGTATCAGCCCCTTTTTTTTTTGTGAGCCCCTATCACTTAGAACTCAGGAATGATCGAGATTTCGTGAAGTACACCATTGACAAGTCCATGAAGAAAAAAGAGAAGCATCACCTTGAGCTATACGTGAACCATTTGAAACGCATCCAGGATGTAGACCGGACCTTCAATTTCTCTCTGGCCACCATTACCAGCGCTTTGCACACAGTCAACAAGGAGACTTGACGGATTTTTTTGGAACTTTTCTGACCATGAAGTGAAACCCCAGGAAAGTCAATGAACAAGAAGCTCGGGGAGTTAGTTGGTTCCATAGCGCTCAACTCCACCAAATCTTCCTGGGCCCCCGCCGTGCCAGGAGAACGGCGTGGTTGATGAGAAAGAGGAAGATGGATGGTGGCCTAACTTGTTTTGGCAATTGATTCTGTGGAAAAATGTTCTCTTCTAAACGGTGGCGCGCATGTCACATTCTCCACTTGGGGGTTTTGACGTTGTCACGGAACATCCGTCCTGTATATATAGATATATATAGCGTATAACCATGCACCCATGAAGTGTGAGCTTTTCTCATGGATTCTGGAGCTTAGGTGCGCCAATCGAGCTCTACGTCTTGCTGCTCTCTTTCGCCATACAGCGCAGGAGGCCCTCAATTGCAGGAAGTGGATGCCTAAGGAGAGCTGGGAACCTTACCTGAGTGAAACCTGATGTACTTGTTTGTCATCTCCCGTGGGATTAGGTCGTTGAAGTGTGCGACAAGATAGTTCAAAACCAAATGAAAAAGATTTTCAGCGTTCTAAGAAATGAACATGTCCTTTCTCTGAGGGGACCTCCCAATATGTTCCACAAGTTCCACCCCACTCCCAGCTCCACTGCAGGAGATGTGGACTGGGGACGAAGCACGCCGTCGTCGACCAAAAGCTGACCCAGCTCCTGAGGTAAAGGAGTCAGCTGAAGCTGAACCCCAAAAAAATCTGAGGAGGGAGGCGGATCTCATCCTTCCGAAGACCCCAGGTCCAGTTCCAGCGAAAGCCCCAGTGTTTCTGTTTCTGAAACTGAGCAGTGTGTTGAAAGTGAACAGGCAGAGCATTCCAAAGCAGGAGACAACCATGATTCAAAAAGGAAGAGCCCAGAGCCGAGCCAAGAAACAAGTTCAATTGTCACTGAACCCCCAGCCAAAGAGATCAAACAGAGCAACAACTTGCCTGCAGCTCCCGAAGTACGTGTACCCATGGACAAAAACATCTCCAACGCCCAGTCTTTGGCTGCGCAGGGAGCGGGCGCCGATGCCCCAGACCCGCTCGAACAAAAACCTGCAGATCCTCTTCCTCCCCAAGCCAAGCCCGGGCTCCTCCAAGTGAAGCGCTCAAATTCTTCTGCTGACCTTGAATCCGCCGAGCAACAAAAAAAGGTAAAAAGCAGCACCGCGGCCAAAACCAAGGCTACCCCCAAGCCCAAGGCCAAGCGCAATCCCAAACACCAAGCTGGGCCCCCCACACCGGACCCCCAACCTATGGAGATGGGATATTTTGATTTGATGGCAGAATCTCTTTCTACATTAAAACCGCTGTTTCATGTGGGAGTTCCTTTTTGTCCATCAACTGCCAAACTCAAACGGGTCCAACTGGTCCTTTGGAGGTGTGCTTCGAAGTTTGGGGCATATATGTATATATTATATATATACCGTTCCAATACACACACCCAAGCACAGAGAAAAGGCTACTGTATGTATTTGATCCGCTCGAAGGTGTTTGAGGTCAATCAATGCGCCTGTTTGTTGAAAACTCAAGAGGCAAACAAACTAGACCTGAGAAACGAGAAGGCAATTCGCTTGCTCAAGCCAAGGAAGTCTTTGGAGAAGTACCGGACTATGAATCCTTCGTGGACACGCAAATCATGCTTCGCCCCGTGATTCCGACCGGCGGACGCTTGGCTGGCTTGTTGGGGCCCACGCTGGGGAAAGCTTGGATGTAAAGCCACCGCTGCCCAAACCTCGAGAATGGCTTTCAAGGAATACGCAGACTTATTCATTTTGGATTGAACGAAAGAGACATGTCACCGCTTGCGCAATTAATCGCAATTTCGATCAAGGACCTTTCCTAGTGGGCTTGTCTATCTTGGTTAGGTACTTGTCGCCAACAAGTCCTTATTTCAGGGGTCTTTGTGTCTCAAGCAAACATAGGTTTGTGAGAACCGCTGATCATGATCTACAATATATTTTTATATACATATGTAATATGATATTATATGAAGCAAAAGCGTCCAAAGGTCAAAAAAGGTATTATGAGTTTATTGAAGCCAGAGCGTCCAAAGGCAAAAAACTACACTGACCAACAGGTCGCCAGCTGGCATGTTGAAGGGTTGGGCACCCAAATTGGAAAAATCCATCCTTCAAAGTCAAACAAACCATGCAGGGTGGTTGAAAGAGTGCGCAGTCTTGCCCACCACGACCCAGCCAGCTTGGTCTGAGGCAGCCAGCTCACTGATCCTCGGGTGGAGCCTCGAGAGCCTGCCGCCAGCGCAAGCGATCGAGGCACAAACAAAAGGGACCTAGAACGACACGTGGTACCGCCTGAACAGTTGGCATCACCTCGACCAAAGGTGCCAGCCGAACCGAGTGCAAAGGAGGAAGAATCACAAGAAGTTCACCAATATGAATTTGGGTGGTGTGAAGAGAGCTTACGCATGTGGCGAAAGCAAATCTTAGGTCCAAAGAAAAGGGGCCCCATTGAATTCTCCAAAGTTCCAACCGTAGACGACTCTGCGGACGGTGACGCGCCCGTCGTGTGTGTCTTTGGGGATGGTCAGAAGGCTGAAGTTTCGCATCTCACCATGGACCCTCTTCTGATTTCTGTTCATGTTTTTCTGACATATGTGTTTTTATGTCCTGTTTTTGAGGTGTCCCGGTTTAGCTGTTTTTTCATGCTTTAAGACCATCTGTCGGACACCTTCGAATGTGCATTCCCGTCATCGCCCTCTGTTCCCAAGCCCCCCAATTAGGAAACATATCGTCTCTTTCTCCCTGTCTATATACTCTGTTATGTTAATTAGTATAATATGTATACATGGGTGTTTTGTGGCTCGTGGGTTTGAGACTACCGCGATAGCCTGCTGACTTCCCCTGGTTGCCGCAGCTTGAGCCTTCATTCCAAGTAAGGAAGACTTGGCCATCAAGTTGGGCAAGAAGAGCAAACTGGCCTCGACCGTTGTGCCACCGGCTGGCGAACCGAGTGAGCAGCCAGCTTGGGAACTTGATCCAATTTCCAAGGACCCACGGATGAAGAGAATGATGAAAGAAGAAGTTGCTGAGGGTGAGCGGGGTTCTTTGAAGATTCAGCTCAAGCCTCAAAAGGGTAGATCGGCTATAGTTTCAATGCTCTTCAAGGGCCTAGAAGACAAGAAGTTCTCCCAAAAGAGTCAAGTCGTCGTAAAGCCACCAACTATTTTGGCAGTCGATGCTATGGTCATTGTGAAATTCTTGTCTTGCAAATTTATGGATGGGGAGATTGATCTGGAGGCAATGAAGGCCGCGAAATATGACCTGTTAGAGGCACACCAGCAGGGAAAGCTCCTAGACCGCTTGAAGTCTGAGCTAGACCCAAACAACCCATCCAACCAAGAGTTCTTGGGTATTGTAGAACTGCGGCAAACTTTGACTTTGGACACTTCGGGTGGACAACATGATGGTCGAGCGGATGGGAAGCCTACACCTGGGACAGGCCGGGCTGTGTGGGATCACAAACGACCAAACAAGGAAGTGAAGCTGCGCAAAATCTGGAAGCTCAAAGGTTGCAACAAACCCGGTCGACCGTTTCCAACATGGTGCATGAGGGCCTTATAAGCCCTTAAGCTTGATCACTATATTCGTGACACAATTTAGCTCCACGAGCGCAAACATATTAGGTGATACCCTCCAAACTCACGATGCAGTTTCCGGGGTGGGTTCACAGAGAACTGACAACACAAAATCATTTTACAGGAGTTCCTTCTATCCATATACGCGCTGACGGGTCTGGTGCGCATAGTGAACCAAATCACGCCTGATTGAGGCAATGCTGGCACCGCGGCCTCCTGATCGATGCTGACTGCTGTAGCGTCAGTTGATTGGACACTTGGGGACCGCTATATGGCCGGACCTCAACAGACGCACACCCCGGCCAGCCCTATAGGTAAATCGCTTCGGTTCTTGAACGATGTTTCCGACTACAAAGAATGATGTAGCTATTTCCTGTTAAATTGTATTTGGAAGCTGTGTTCGTGGTCCGATTGGATCTCTGTCCGTATCATTTTAAGAGCTTGGTGATAAACAATCGATCGAGTAGGTAGTGGTCAATCACTTCAAAGGACAAACGCTGGTTCTGGGTGGTGGCTCCAGTCTCGCATATAGCGTCTGACTACAGACCAGTCATGACAGACCAGTCATTAGCAATTTTGCGATCTCGAGTCGCCAGAAAACAAAGCTTTTTAGCTTGCTTGAGGAGGGCAGGCGAATCCTTGTCTTCAGGCACCCCTCCAAACTAGCTGTGGTAGGCGGCGTACATATAGTCTAGAGTCTAGAGATGCCGGGAAGCAATGACAAAGCTTCAAAAGAAACGGCAAACCTAATACATATATATGTTTTTGTGGGGCATTTGGGACGCTATCTGGGAGTGCGGTTGTAGGATTTTGGCGCTGCCCTCTTGCAAAGACAGAGCATGGCTCCCACCAAGAGCAAACTCTCAACAAGTGGCCTGAGAACCCCTTTCATTCTATATTATATACAGCGTGTCCAATGCCATTTGTTGATAATTTGTTTCAACATGTTCTGGCATGAAATGGTACGCCGATTCGCAATCGATCGTGGTTTTGAGTTTCAGGCCTCAAAGCGCTTCAACGATGTCCAAGAACAGCAATAGGTCTCCCAACCTTAGTGGCATTCTTGGCTTCCATGTAGCAAACTACTACTGGGCTTTGAAAGCTGCCTTTTAAAGGTGGCCCAGAGTGATCTTGTTTTAGCTAAAGAAAGGGATTGTTAGGCCACCTCCAAAAATGTTGCTTTATGGCCTTTGGCCACCTCGAGTTTTGGTGGCGATACATGTCTGGTATTCATGCTTCTTGGATTCCTTTGGAGGCCCTGGAGGCCAACCGGCCTGGAACCTTTGAACTCTTTAAAACTATGGCTTCCAATGGCTTTTTACAAAACGTGACCTAGAATGGACCGATGAGCCCTCGATGAGGGGGTACCGATGAGCCCCCCGATGAGCTCCCCAGTGAATTAGGTACCCCCTTTATAAAAATGAAAGGGATTTGGCGATGAGCCCCCCCGATGAGCATACCAAAAACCAACGATGAGGGGGTGATGAGGGGTAGCGATGAGCCCCCCGATGAGCGTGTCCAAGAATAGGTTGCCCCATTATTAAAAATGAAAGCATTTAGGCGATGAGCCCCCCGATGAGGGTGGCGTTGGGAGCGATGAGCCACCGATGAGGGTGCTCTGCAGGGAGGCTCGAGATCCAATTTTGTGGTCTTGACCTACAGGCCGCTATATAGTCCCACCAACATGGCCACCGCAGCTCCGTCTGAGCAGCCGGCAGGGTCCCCAAAGCCAGCTGCGCCTGTTGAGCCGAATGAGGAGCCGAGTCCACTAGCCGAATTGTAGGTAAACGGGCTTGTATCTGCTTGAGTTTTGTTTTGAAGAACAGCTTTAATTTAGCGTGCTTTAGCTCAAAAGAACATCGGGCCGCAAGGAGTTAGATGTGCCAGATTTGAAACCATCCTTGGAAAGAGCGATCCAGCAGTATGCGAACTACATGGGTGTAGACCCCAGCACTGTCACCGAGAAAGTTTTGGAGGAAACGGAGGAGGGGGTGGAGGGCTGGGCTACTTATGGCCAGGATGCACGGGCACGTGGCCCCATGGGAAACGCCATGTACCGTCAGATGAAAAAACCATCTGGCGCAGCTGCTGCTGAGACATACAAGTGGTTGTCTGAAGACTTGAAGAAAAAGTTCAGGCAGACGTGGGCTATGAAACGCAGTTGGGATTTCATCGACAAAAAGAGGATCCGAAGCGTTGAAAGCAAAACCAAACAAGAAGTGGGCACATGGAAGAACCAATTGCAGTTGGAAGTTCATTTTGGTGGAGCCGGGCTACCAGAAGCCGTTCGCCAAGCAAATAATTACATCATCAACTGCAAGACCTTTGAGGACCGATTTTTTTTAACATGTGTTAAACACATCTGGTGGTCACCATACACAGGACTGATTTGTTTTGTAGAATGATGGCGCAGGATGTCTTCGTCCGGTTCAACACGTGGACTGATGCTGAGAACTACCTGCTCGTGGAAAAGCTTGTGTCGAAGATCGAGGTGGAAGCCTTCAAGGAGGTCGCTGAGATGGTGGACGGCTCAGGGACTTTCCAAACGGAAAGCTTTCGCATGAAGGCCATGAGGAAGTTTGCGGTCTACCACAACTTGCAGCTCGAGGAAGTGAACTACGATGATGTCGCCAACAGCCCACAAGGACTTCGAGGTTGGGGTGAGATGAACATTGCGGTTCCGGGCATTGCTGGCGAGGGCGGAGGCCATGCAAGTCCTGTCGAGCCTGCGCCAACTCTCCCGCCTGTGGATCCTGAAGGCGGCGAAGCTGGCGGTTTGACCATTCCAAACAAACAGCAGCCTAAGGGCCGCGGAAAGGGGGGACCAAGGAAGAGAGGTGCCGACAATAAGGACGCACCGGCCCCAAAGAGGAAGGTCAAGAAGGAGCTGACAGCTGAGCAATCTGCTGAAGCCAGCTCCAAACAAATCCTTACCCATCTCCAGTGGAGCCAGCAAATTATGCAGAAGGTAGCTGGAGATGGCGATGACATTCCTTCGGAATACCGTTGGGCAAAGTCGTTCTTGGAAGACTACCGTGATTGTCTCTCTAGGTTCAAGGATGCTGTGGCTCCATGTGGGGATGGAGGGGATGACTTGATCGAGTTTGTGGATGAGTTGAAGCTCTGCGTCATCAGCAAGGGTGGGATGAAGACTTTGAAAAAGGGGTATGGTGATCGCTATGTCTCTATGCTGTCCCTCTTTGTTGACCGGTGCCAGAAGATTGCTGCTGAGAAACTTGGGCGACTTAAGTAGAATAGTTTTTCATAGTTTGTTACTTATTGTTTGGAAGGTGGAAATAGACTGTTGGCCTCCTGTCCTATATTTTGCCAACAATTGGACCGCGGCTCACCCAAGGATGGATTCCATTTCGAACAAGGTTCACAAGATGTCCCAGGTCTTGGTGGGTGCTCCAAAGCCTGCTAAGCGGGCCAGGAAGAGTTGAACTTTTGAAGTAGCGGGGTTGAATTCTTGCAGCGCTTGCTGCAAATAGCAATTCCTTCTTGGGAAATCAGGTGAGAAACATCTGATCCAGGCTGTGCAGTAGGGGTGCTGTACAGTCCATCTAGAGCACCAGACGATCAACCTTCAGTCCTAGACAAAAACAAACGCGGGGGGGTCAGGTGAGAAACCTCTTAGAACAAATCTATATACAAAACAGCCTTTTTGGTTCAAGACATGTTCAAAAGAGCTAGGATACTTGCCAGGGCTGGTGAAAGCCGTGAAACCGTACATGAAGCGGCCCACAAAAAGGCAGGGGAAGAACTGCGCCAGTACCTTCTCGAAAAGTTTTGCATTGAGGGGATGACCGGGTGTGAAGTTGCAACGCTCTCCCACTTCATAACCAGAGCCGGCGGAGTCGGCCTGGAAGATCTTGCGCTTCCACCGTCAACGGCCTCCAAGAATGGACACGCGCACGTTCGCAGCAAGGCTGGCAAAATATACCCAGAGGTGGATCTGGACTATGTGACATGCCCAATGTTCGTGAAACGGGATGCTTGCAGGTCTTCAGAGTCTATCCCAATTTTTTTGCCGTCCAAAGCCTTCCAAACCTTTCTCACCACTGAGATGCTTGAGAACCACCCCAAGAAAGATGTGGCTAGAGTGCTTGGTGGATTAGACAGCTATGATGCCCATCCCGTGGTGGAAGCTGCGAAGCATGAAGGCTTCAAAAACCTTGTTCGCCCTGTTGCACTCTATTGGGATGGTGTGGCCTACACCAAAAATGATTCCTTCTTTGCCTTCTATGTCACTGACATTTTGAGTACCCAGAAGTTCCTCTCATTCCTCTTACGTTTGAACCTTAGTACGGCGTGTTGAGTTTATCCTTCCGTCCGTTTTCAATTCAAGCCCCCTCAGGTAGTGAAGAGATGTGCCAATGTGGCTGCAGGGGGTGGTGCACGCTCTTCCCCCTTCTGCACAAGTGGACCTGTGACTTGAAGTCGCTCCAAACTGGCGACACCCGGTTTGCAGTCCTGGACATCCAGGGCGATTGGCCTGCCTTTTTGCAAGTGTTTGGATTGCGGTATTGGAGTCATAAGACTCATCCCTGCCCGTTGCGCACCATCAACCAAGAAGAACTGGGCAGATTGCGACTAGGGGAAATGACCGTGGATTCCATGCCCTATCCATTTTACACAACCAATGATGTGAGAGCGGATTTGGCAAACGCCACGCGGGCTCCCCATTTGTAACCAACAAAGGATTTATTTGTTGCTTGTTATTTGGATTGGTGCATGCACCGTGGCCCAACCAAACAACAACCTACCAAGGTTTTGGAGGTGACCTCCACTCAAATGAGATCGAAAATCCTCCAGAGCCTAGCCTACAAAAAAAAATGGCGTGGTCGAGCACTGATATCTGCACTCCCGCAGTATGGCCTTGGAAAGGGCAGCCGGCTGATGCCAACGCCAAGCATGCCTGATGTGGCCAAGTTTGAATTCATGGAGGTCCCCTTCACAGTTTGGTGGTGGGTGGGCCCGGAAGACTTCCGTTTGGTTCATGATTGCCCGTTGGTGGAATTGGACGGGGTTGGCTTGGAGAGTTTTTCTTTGGACATCATGCACTCCTGGCACTTGGGGCCACTGCAGCTCTTGGTGAGCTTGGTCCTGAACTTTTGCTTGGATTGCGGGTTGTGGTCACCGTCAGCTAGAGGGTTGGATGCAGCGGACCGCCGCAGAATCAGCCTTCAGGCGATCAAGGCTGAACTCTATCTGTGGTATCGCGATAAAAGAAAAGATCCAGATTGGGTGGGCAGAAGCTCCGAAGCCACTAGCCTTCTCTCAGCAAGTTCAAGGGTCCTATGTCTGTTGAACCTTTAATAGATAAAGTGATCTGGTGCTTTGAATTAGGGGAGCCCCTACATCTAAGGTGTGGAATTTGACCCTTACCATGCTGGGTTCCTCCGACAGCCCCCATTTGCACGCCAAAGCTGCTGAATCGCACGGCTTGGCTCTCTGGATCCAAGACCTGCTCACTGGTCATTTGCAAGACTTTGAGAGTTTGCCAAAGGAATCATTTAGAAAGGCAAAGTTTCTTTTGGAGGCCTCAAAGGCTGCCAACAAATTAGATAGCCTTTTTGCCACTGAGAACCGAAAGCTTTGCCGCGAACAGGTGCAAGAAGCACTAGCATCATATCTTCGGTTTTTGGCCTTTTACAGCAAAGCTGAAGGGCCCATCACCCCAAAATGCCATTTTATGATACACCTCATCCAAAGAAGCCTGTTCAAAGGCAACCCCAAAAAATACTCCACGTATCGTGACGAATCTTTCAATGGGCAAATCGCTAAGGTTGCCCGGTCTTGCCATCGAAAAACTTGGCAAAATGTGGTGCACTGGAAATGCCAGTGCCTACACAAGAAAAACCAACAACGGGTGCTCGAATCGAAGCTCTTCAAAAACGGTCGCAGCGGTCTTTGTGGGTCTGTCCTTGTGAACCCTTAATTGAAAGTGTTTTTTCAACGTTTAATGGGATATGTTTCTAACTCCGATAGCCGGCGTGCTTTGAGCCCAGCCTCGAACGGTCCGGCGCGGCCCGATTTCCATAGCTCCATATGGCGGTAAGGAGGGTATCAAAAGTTGATGACTTCTTTGATGCCTCCCAATGCCTAGAGATTGTTGAAAAGACTGTGGAGGAGTTTGACAGTGATCCCTCCAACACTCGTGCTCTAGATTCTCTTGATCTTTTTGCTGGCAAGGGCAACTTCTGTGCTGAATGTCAAGCAGGTGGCAAGACTAGTATGACTGTGGACATTCTCCATGACAAGAAGAACCACGACATCTTGACGCGGACAGGTTTCTTCTATGTGCTGCAGTGCATTCTCACGATGGTCCCTTTGCTTCTTACAAATGCAAAGTTTTATATAATGATGGGCCTCTGTGGTTTGCGCTGTTTTGTGAAGGTTTCTGTGCTGCATGCTATCCAAATAACGTGAGGTGGAATATGGAATGATTCTTTGCGGCCCTCCTTGCGGCCTATTCGTCTTCCTCTCAGCCAGCTACCATCGTCGGAGCATGGACTTCCCCTATGGTGATCAATCCAAACCAAAAATCAGGGGGGCAAACCAGCTGGTGATCAACCTTATCGTACTTCTGGCTGTAGCGCACAAACGCAAGATCTTCTTTGTGAATTTTGGCTTCAAACTTGAGTCAAGGTTTTTCTATATTTCTCCAGCTGCTCCAAAAAAAGTGTGAACGGCTCAAAGCGGCTGCGATCAGGATGGAACAACCAGCTTCATCGGTGCTATGGATCTTCCCTGAGCTAGACCGATTCTGGCGCTTCTTGGAAGGGGTGAGAACTCACACGTGGATGAGGAAGTTTGGGCATCCATTGCCTAAACCAACCGTTTTGTTTAGCAATGTTTGTCGTGAGTTCCTTGTCCCTTTGGCTGGGAAATGGAGTAAAAAAATGGAGAAGATTTGGCAGAGAATCCTTGCGTCCCGGTTGGCTTCCAGCCCTGCAATTGCCTTGCTGTGGAAACACAAAGCCAGGTGACTTTGATTCTTATCAAAAAGAATTCTATTATGGGTTTGGGTGTTGGTGGAGGGGTGTGAAAACAGAACCCTTAGTTGTCCAAGTCAGTTACATCAAGGTACCTACGCACGGCCTTGAAGTTTCGCGCATGGTACAAGCACCGCTGCGCCAATGAAGTTTTCTACAGAAAGCACTTGAGCAAGAGCAAACGCCGTGTGTTTGTGAGTGGTGGAAAAAAACTGAAAGACAGCGGGATCTACACCCGCCCGTTCTGCCGAGCCGTGATGGACGTGTGGGCATCTGCGGCGGCCGTGCAGGACAATGGACTGACACTTCCACTCCAAATCCGAGACCATGTCACCATCTGGCGCGAGTCTTTTAAGGGAAGCTTCACTGAACCAGAGCCTCGTCCTAAGAGGAAAAATTTGGTCAAACAAAGAAAGAGTGAAACTCAATTTGGTAGAGCTCGTGTATCCAAGGACACACTGGTGGTTGAGCAGATCACCAAGACCTTGACTTACCTAGAAAGCACGATCGCGGTGCTTGACTGATTCACTTCGAGTGATCCCGAGAAAAGCTGCCGACCTCTCTGCGAGACAGTTTCTTAAGGTTTGCAGCGTGTGTGTGTGAGTGAGGTTTCCGGTCTTAAATAAGTGGTGCTTAAATAAGTGTGTGTGTGTGTGCGGTTTTTTTCCATGGGCTGAGGGAAACCACTAGGGGAACAAACAATAACAAACATAGTGCAGCTCTATCTTGTCTGCCGTGATATTTGCAAAATATTTTGCAAATATTTGCGAATCACGTTGCTATACTGCATGGTTCTTAACACTTCCATGCTCTTTGGCCTGGTGGTAGCGGAGTTCTCCATCTTGGTGGGTATGTGCAAACTGACACTGCGATCCAAAAGATGGATGTCAGCGGTCCATTTTTGGATCCTTCAGCTGCGTTCCAATAAATAGATCTTTTCCAGGGTCTGGGGACTCTATCGGAGGACTTGGTGCTGGACCCTGTGGTGGAGGTGGAAGTCGAATGGGAAGTGATGGCTTGGGAACCTCTACGAACATAGCCCCAGCCTTGACCTGGGTCGACCCTCTGGCCTGCGGTGACAAAACCGGCGGGACCTTTGGGGGCGGACTAGGTGGGACTGGCATGCTACTGGACGAATGCGAGGTGCCCGCGCCAGAGGCAGCGGCTTGCTTGGTCTTCGGCCCTGCGGCGACAGACTTTGGCTTGGAATCACTCCCTTTTGTCGCTGATTTCCCCGCCCCGGCCTTTGCGGCCTTAGCTTCAACTTGCGAACGAGGTGTCAACACAACTGGGATATGCCCACGCTCGAGCGTGGGGCGCCACGGCGCTGCTGTTGCCGACGCACCGGCTGTAGAAGACGTTCCCGGAGTGGCCTTAGGGGCTGCTGATCGAGAGCGGTCGACACGGGGTGGTGCGGCCGAAGACGAAGCCTTCGAGTCGGAGTTAAACACCGTCCTGGGTGGAGCGACCTTAGTTTCGGCTGAACGCACATGGCGAAGCGGCACGAATGGATGGTCGGAGCTCCAATACCCTTTGGGCAGTCTGTATTTCGGTTGCGGAATGCCCTGCAGTAAGGTGGAATCGATGGAGTACAGGAACTGCCAAAGCTCAGGTAGGATAGTTGCCCATCTATAAGGATGGTATCTACCGGCAATAGCTCTCCGTCCAAGTCGAATGCCCACCTGTCGGAGCGACGAAGGACATACCCGAACCACTGTATTGCTTGCGGGCGATATGCGGGGGAATGTGGGGGAGATTGAAGCGGCGGCCGAACCGCGCATAAGTGGAGTCACCAAGCTGTGCACTGATGTACTCACAGGTGGTTCCGTAAGACAGGTACCCCTCCTGCGGGTGCGGTCCCTCTCTCCCTTTCCCGCGCCCGTGGCAGCGGCTTCGCCAACACCTAGATCCGCCGGCTCGGGTTCGACACCCGCGGCTCGAGCGGACTCCTCGAGCGCGGCCTCCAAGTCGTATTGTTCTTGGATGCGCTGCACAATCTCCTCACCGGCTGCTTCCTCGGCTGAGGACTCTTCGTCTTCACCAAGTGGGTCAAACAGATTATTGGTGGGGAGGGGAGGACTATTAGGTGTGGGTGAGGCCTGGGCGATTAATGTTTCTGCGGAAACGTTTCAGGCTCTTCCTCACCGAGGACCGGAGGGTCTTGGTTCGTGAGGTCAAGGGAATTCGAATCCTCCATCGAGGCTTGCATGCTTTGGTCGATGGGGCTTGGTTCAACCGGTTGATCTCCTAGCGAATGCTCGGGGTCTTGAACGACTTGATCCGATGTGCTAGGGGCGGTCTCTCCAACAGGGTCGACGGGTGCCGCGCATACAGCAGCAGCACCCTCGCCTGGTGGGTCCTGTCCGTCCCAATTGACGTCCGGACCGGCAAAGGGCTCCTCTAGTTCGACTTCGCGGTCGTCGACCTCAAGCTCCGAGAACGGGAATATCGTTGGGCCCGAACCCGCTGAGGATGCAGCACTACCACGTCTCGAACTATCGGTGCCCGCGCCTGCGGCGGCGGCTGGGGGTTCCAATGGCTCTACGAACAGCTCGAGGGCGCTGGCGCCCTGTTCGCCCAAATGGGAGAGCGATGTCACCTCCAACTCCGGAGCATCTACGCCTACGTTTGCACCTAACGAATCCGCGCTTGGAGCAGCGGCTTGCATTTCGGCAGCTGCTGGCTCGGATCTTTGGTCAGGCGTGGGAGGAACACTTGGCCCTATCGACGAGTCCGCGCCGGAGGCTGCGGCTTGCGCCGGCTCCGTGCGGGGAGAGCGAGGGGGTGTCACTCTAGGCATAGATGAGTCTATTAGGGTCGGACTATTAGAGCTCGTAGGTTGGTTAGACCTACGGCTGATAACCAATGAAATTGACAAGGACTCCGGGATATCAAGGAATAACCACCACAATCTATTGATGGGGAGGGTTACCGCAAGATATGCAATGGAGTGGATGACCCTCTGGCGGGTCGGCACACGGCGAGGGGTATCCGAACCCTTGGTCCCCGTGGCGGTGGGGTGCGAGCGAAGCGAGCTCTATACGGCCAGCAACGAAAGCACGAACACGAAAGTGCGGTGGCACGGCGGTCGAACGAACGACGTGCACGAAGCTGAAAACACGCGAAGCGCTTGTTTTCTTGAGCCATAACGGGCGTCGAGTGAGACGAAGTTCACGAACGACGACCTAGACTGTACATGTGAACCTGCATGACAAGTTAGGGGTAAATCATGCTTCACAAAAATCGACTATCTTAATGTATAAATTAGTATTAAATACGCCATATTTGAATGATTTATATTAAAAATATTGTAAAATCCAGTGGCATAGATTTAAAGCTTTGGGTGGTAAATTTTCTTATGGGGAGGGAAGATTTTTTTGCGTAAAGGAAAGAATACTCAGGGCGGATACGGTTAGGTGGGCTTCTGGATGCCCTGGCCGGATTTTCCATATTCTTTTTTGTAAATTTATTAATAAGATATTATGGGTTCTTAATGAGATCTTCTAGACCACAAGCCTCGAAACAAATTTATCTTTAATAGTTTATTGAATTCTATTGCAAATATATATATAATATATATATATATTATAAAATATATTCCAATCGTTCATTAATTAAAATATATATGTTGCACAGAGAATTAGGACTTATTTTTCATAATTATATAATATTCATAATTATTGCCAGGATCATTTCCAACATAAGATTGCATTGGAATTCTCTGGGGGATTCTATTTCTTCTGGAAATGGAACCATAGAAATATGTATATATAATTGATATGGCGAATATTCGAATTATTTAATATGTCATGACAAATCCTTCATATGAATTGATCGTGGATTGCATCCCATCAATATTGTATCCCATATAAATATTTATTTGGATATATTCATGTTTCTCGAGATATCAAATAGGATTCAAAAGATGCATCCTTGTTAAAGACCTTGATGATATATTTGGTCCTGACAGATCTTGCCGATCGATATGGCTTGCATTGGTTGCGGCACCATAACGTGATTTATATTAAAAATATCCATGTACGATGGATTATCCAGACCCTTGCACAGGATTATTTGCCTTGTCCGAATTGGAATATATGTTGACCATTTTCAAAGCTTTTGCATTCTCCATCAACACTTCTAAGAGTATTGCAATGATTGCAATGATGCAATTCATGGACAGAATTGATTGCTCCTTCTGCCGAGATTGAAGTAACCGACCTACCACGGATTCCTTATTGCACACGCCAAATGGCTTATGGATATTGCCGCTCGGTACCAAAATAGCGTATTTCGGGGGTGATTATGATCTCTTGATTGAGGAAATGTCACAGCACTATACCCACATTGTTCTCCAGCCCAGGCTACTGGGCACAACAACACATGCTCTCCAAAACAATCCAGACATCCAGATAGGGAGCCCAGAGATCCAGAGGCACATGGAAAGATTCCAAGGCTTGCTCACCAAAATGGCAAGAAGAATCACCACCGAAAATAAGCAACGATTCCTCCATATCATGGTCAAGACCTTAGAAGATGCAGGACAGAAAAAGAGGAAAACCTAGGCCTTAGCACACACAAAGCCCCTCAACCCCAACGCTTACATGGAACAAAGCACCGGGTTCATAGGGTAGCCCTGCAAAGCGCCCACCCCTCCCTGCACCATGCAACGCACAAAAAGCTCAGGCAAAGGAAATTCAAATATATTTTGCCAATATCACTAGGCGCAGTGAAAAGGCACAGCAGCACATCTGGGCATTGCCAACAACAGTCAAAATCTGTGGCATAGCAGAGCACCACATGGCGACCCACCAATGGCAGCTGGTTAGGTTAACGATCATCCATACATACAAGAAGCACAACTTCTGGACATGGGAAGCATATCAGGTGGAGTCTCCATGGCTTACCGAACAAGCATAACATCAGAAGTTCTTCCTGGCAATTTTGACCGCAGATGGATAACCACCATCTACAGAATACATCATATAGAGGTCATAGTAGGAGTACTATACCTCAAGGTGGGAGGCTGCATCACAGCACAGGTCCAGCACGAAGTTACCTGGGATCCGTAGTATGGTATCCTCTTTACCTGGCAGCAGTAGCCAAGAACAAATCCAAGTGTTAGAAAACAGACTCCCAGTGGCCCGGCGCCTAGGGCCCAGACTCTCCTGGCAATATTTCCAGACCACACAGCCCGTCGAACTTACTCACATGCCCCCCACCATGAGATGGAACACGAGCCAGGACCTAACCCAGGCCTTTGGCCAGCTACAAACACAAACCACGCAGTGGAACCTGGCAAAGCACACACACACAGCAGAGACATAATTTTCGAACTGCATATGCAAAGGCTATCAAGGAGATGACAATGCAGGTCAAGCAATTGCAATGTTGATTGGGGCTTCACGGAATGGTCAGAGATTGCCACGGGTTGTTGAAAGACCCGATGCGCGACAAGCAAGCACAACAAGCTGGTCTATTACAGACGAACATACATTCCCAATAAAATTTAATACCCCCAGCC